TTATTCTTAATATCATAAACAAGAAGATTAGATAACATACTCAATTGAATTTGCTTGAGAAAGCTTGAATCAACAGTCAATACTGATTTTATTAACTTTTGAAAATGCTCTAATTTCAAGAGGATTATTCTTTATTGATCAAAAGCTACATTTTTTTTTAATATAAGATAAAAACTTCTAAAAATGATGTCTAACAAATCTTATTTTTTTTGGGATCAATAAATAATCTTAAAATCAAATCTTGATAAAAACATGCTCCAACAAGCTTGATGATGATTCAAAATAAATATCAATATGAAGTACTTCAGATTCTTATAATCCATATATATATTATGACTGGATTAAAAGTACCTTCTAGATAATGATGCCATTCTTGAAATTAATCCATAATTACAAAAAGTTCTTTATCATGGATTTTGTAATTAATCTTAGCTGCTAAAAATTTCCTAGAATGAAAAGCTATCAGATGGAATTTGTCGTCTTCTTCTATTTGTGATAAAATATCATTCATAGCAAAGTCTCATGTATTTGTTTTCATAAATAATACCTTAGAGAAGTCAACGCAATACAAGATTAGAGAAGTAAACTTCTTTTTGGAGAAGTTGATGCAATATAAGATCTTTCTTTAAAGCATCAAAGAATGCTTTGGCTTCTTTATTCTATGTGAGTTTTTTTCACAAGTCAAACAAATAAATAGGGCTATAAATTGAAAAAAAAAATCATGATGAAGATTTTGTAATAATTAGCAAAATTCAAAAAATATTGTATATCTTTTATTGTTCTTAAAATCTTTCAATCTATCATAGTCTGAACTTTCTTTGAATTCATAATTAGTCGTTTGTTAGAAATGATGTATCCTAAGAAGTCAACTTGAGTAATGTTGAATATATATTTTCTATCTTTACATATAATCTTACATCTCTAAGTTTTTGTAACACACAAAAAATATAAAATTCATATTTTTTTGTATTCTTAGAATAGCTTAGAATATCGTCTAAATAGAAAAAAAAACAAAATTAAAAAAATATATAAAATACATCATTTATAAGATGTTCAAAAAGAATTAGTTTGTTTGTGAGTCCAAAAGGCATGACATTATATTTGAAATGTCCATACTTAGTTCAAAAAGTAGTCTTCTATTCATTTCTTTCTTTGATGTAGACCAAGTTGTGTACTCTTCATAGATCTATTTTTATATAGATCTTTGCTTGATTGAGTTGGTCAAGAAATCTTAAAATTAAAAATAAGAAATATCTATTTTTTATGGTGATTTTATTAAGTTTTCAATAATCTATGTATATCCACAAAGATCCATTTTTTTTCTTTACAAATAACATAAGAGCTCTTGCTAGAGATTTCAAATTGCATATGAAGTTTTTAGCCAAGTTCTCATGAATGTATTCCTTTAGTATAGCCAACTCATTCTGCAATAAGCTATAGATTGGTCCAAATGGTGGTTAAGCTCCTTCTTGAAAATCAATTGAACAATCATAAGGTCAATGTTCTAAAAAAATATCTAATTTCATTTTCAAAAATATCTTTAAAATCTTAATAATAGCTAGGAATACCACTTGACATCTTTCTATTATCAAAAATGAATATGGCATATGTAACAAAAGATGATCTTTCTTTTGTAACATACATAAAAGCTCTATTACTTATCAACAAGGATTTGAATATACTAGACTTATGTATTTTTACTTAATTAATAAAATTTTAGATTAAACTACTAAAAAAATTAAGATTATAAGAAATCTAATATATCTGAGGATTATATTTTTTAACTACAATAATTCTAAAATAATCAAATTATATAGAAATCTTATCACATTAAATATTACTATACTATTATAATCTTTATTTACTACATCTAAAGGAACAATTTCATGGATAACATCTTCAAAAGACAAAAAATAACCATCTGTGACTTTTACATGTATAGATTTAGTTTTCTTGATTAAATATATTTCTTATTTTTTGACAAAGACTTTGTATATAAAAGAGATTGAGGCTCTTGAATCTAATAATGCATAGACTTTGTAATTTTTAGGTCTTAAACACACATCTATTATAAAACAAGATGAGGGATCTAAGGAGAGAATAGGACCTTTACTAGATGTTGCACATGATTTGAGCTGTATAGTCTTTATTGTAATTGGAAAAACTTATTTTTCAATACAGTATCTTCTTTGGCAATTGTGCTCTTCATTTTGTAATTACATTGCTTCTTTGGATAATATTAAGTAGTATATTTAGCTTCTGCATAATATAAGTATAAACCCTTTTGATGACATCTAATTTTTTCCTACTTTGTGATAAATTTAAACGTACTGTGTCAATTTGTATTGATTCTAGTCTTGATGAATAAGTTTTTGAAAACTTAGGAGCTGCCATCATTACTTGATTTATTCTTCTTAAGTCAAATCTTTATTCTTGATGTCTTTTAAATAATCAATTATTGCATATAATGACTTAAACAATAAATTATTTCAAAGAATTTTCTTTTGGCATTGTCAATAACAAATCTTTGATGTTATCCTTTAACATATATCAAAATTGATTGATAAGGACTTTGTCATTTTAGTCCATTTTGCAAGCAAGGTTATGAAAGTCAACAACATATATAATGGATGACCATAATCTTTATCGTAAAGATAAGAGTTTGGTCTCTTTTATTCTTTTTTGATCACTTTTTCCAAATATGACCATAAACACTTCTAAGAATGAATTCAAATCATAAAATAATCATGAATCCTTTTCTTTCAAAGGTGCAAACCAAGAGAGAGTACTTTTAGATAGAAATGCGCCTATAAATCTAACATGGGTAAATTCATTAGGATATTGGAAAAGATGCAATCTTAGATAAAACTTGACTTCTTGGAAAAATCTTCAAAATTTTGATCTTATTGTATCAAACTTCTTGAGCATATTAATTCTTATTTTTTTGTATTTATTAAAAAAAATCTTAATTTTAATTAAGAAATCAATCTACTTACTTCTTTCAATTATGCAACTTTTTAATATAGACTTTGGACTTCTTCTTTAGGCATAGGATTAGTGTTTTTATAATTGGCATTGATGATGTGTGAAATTTCTACCATAAGAGTATTAACAAGCTTATGAAGATTTACAATAGTTATAAATTTATTTTCACTTCTGCTAAAAGTAGCATCTATAATCTTTCTTTATATTTCAAACAACTCAACAAATATATAAGTCAAATTAAAAGAGAATAATCCTCAACTTCTAATGTTGAATAAAAATTTCTATAAAGAAAGATAATTTGCTCTCTTTAAAATAAAATATTAAATAAATAAATAATATTAAATTTTTATTTATTTAGTTAAAAGTAGGTAGTCAGTAACCTTCAAAATATAATAATAGAAGTATGATAATCCATCCACTTCTAAATCAAGATAAAAAATAATGAATTAGCACTTTTATCAAACTATTAAGGACATGAATCTCAAAGAAAGAAAATCTCAATACACTCTTGTGTCACCCAAAAAGACTAGAAAATCACATAAAGATGATAATATATTGAACTAAAATGGTTATTGCTAAAGATAAGAAGACTTGAAAGTCTAAAAACAAGCCTAAGGACTAAAAAGGCATTGACAAGTGTAAAGAAGGCTTCACTCTTGCCTCCATATATACTATCTAATATAATCCACATAATTTTATTTATTTTTCTACTATAATATTTATAAAATTCTTAAATAGATAAACTTCTTTTATTTTTCAAAACTTATAATCATTCAAAATATTTTTAATTTTGAAAAATTCTTAGAGATTCAAAACTAAACCAAATTACTTAATATGAATGCTCAAACAACTTATTAAAAGTCTTTTTATTAATTTTTTTTTCAATTAGCAAAATAACCCCGAAATTGTTGTAAATGTGTAGTTTTGTATATTAAGGTCTTATATTGATCTTGATTCATAATTGGTCCTTTTTGAGTATCAACATTTGATTTCTTAAGATAATTTTTTTTATAAAATATTTTTAATTCTTTCTTTAAGATGATTATATTATTTATTTTTCTAATATTTTTTTTGTCTTATTATGGTCTTATAAAATATATAGAAGCCATTTCATAAAAAGACAACATTACCACTAAATATTTTAACTACTATCCTATCTTTTGCCTATATTTTGGTACTTTATTTTTTAATTAGAATTTTCTATAATAGCATCTATGTTTTATGTGTATATGTTGTGAAGCCACATGCAGGTTGTAGAATTTACTACACACAAATCATGCTAAAATTTGGTGAATACTGAAATGCAAGTAAAGAACATGGATACTGTAATAATGAGTTTGCGAACTTTCTTTTAACTGTATGTGAACATGTTTGTTAAATGTTTGTTAAATGTTTGTTTTTGGTTTTTTTCAAAGTCGCAGTAGGAGTACACCCAATGCGTTAATAGAACAAAAACACTACATGGCTGCAAAGACCCAAACACCTTGTCAACAGGGTTTGGGAGCACCAAAACACCAAAGCAGTTGTTCAAGAATTAATAAAAAATTCATAAAATGTATCGTTGGCTGCGCAGTAAACCACGATCAGTCTGCACTAATTAACACAGTCGCAAGAAACTTAAAGGTGGGGTAACCTACTGAAGAGCAGGTCCTGTCGTTCCTGTCCCTTCAACGTTGAAAAGATGACAGGAGGCCGGTAGGAGCGAAGAGGTAATTTCAATAATATCATTGTCAAACCAGAAAATCAGGGCAGCCATATTTATATTATTTACATTTTAATTCAGATGAACTCAGTGAAAATGGATATACGACAGTGAAAAAATTGTTATCTAAGTAATTGAGATGTATACGGTTAGTACCTATTACTGGACAGTGACCACAACAGATTTCTAGCCACCGTTTCAATCAATCAATCGTTTTTTGTCAAGCGCTAGATGAGTTTAGGATTAAAATTAAGGGTATTCTACATGGAATTCTGGTCCTGCAACCATTTACTTGAAATCACAATAGTCTCAATAAATTGAACAGTTGTCTTAGTATATTACAATACTTTCTGCAAACTCATTCACTACCACATACAAAATGATCCAATAAAAGGATTGTAGCATTCATGCGCAAAACCCACTTCACACTAACAAAAGCACATTCAAGCCCGACAAAGACATCAAAATGATCGTTATCACAAACTACCGTTCCTCAGGAAAAGAAAAAAGAAAAGAAAAAAAAAAAAAAAAAGGGGGGACTGCTACAGAAGCAATCCCGTTTCAAAAGGAAATAGGAAGTTTCTAAAACTGAAAAACACATCTTCACATAAAGATGGAGTGCTACACACAACCGCTGCACTTCATTTAGTGAACGAACTGAACTCATCGTCGCAAGAATCCTGGGACAGATATACACGTGACCAAGGCATCGTCAGGTTTTTCAACGACGGTATGGTGAGTAGCGCGGTGACCGGGAGCGTTCACGACGATATCCGCGGTATGGAGAATGTCGAGGAGAGCGTTCTCTGTCCCGACCATCTCTACCTCGGTAAGGTGAGTACCGTGGAGCACGACGATCACTGTAGCTATCTCTGCCTCCATTTCGTCCTCCATAGTCTCCTCCGTAACCACGCGAGTGAGCTTGCACGGCAGCTACAAGTGTCAGAAATGAGCATAGATCAGGAGACACCACTCTCTCACAAGCATTCCAGGCGTTTTATCAACACCCACCACATGACAGCAATGCTCCTAAAACGCAATCCAAGCAAAGACTGCGGAGAAAAGGAAAAAAACAAAAAAAGCGAGTATATCCATTCAAGTGCAAACTAGACCATCAATTAACCTAGAATAGTTACGTAACTATCCACTATTATCAAAAAAGGTAATTCAGATACACACCTCGTACACCAAGATATTCCCCAGGAGTTGGAGTCCTAGCTCGTTTCCTCTTTGCCTGCACATCAAAATGTCCAAATCAAGATACTAAAGTATAAACGGGAATAACCTTTCTCCTCGACGAGACTAGCGTAAATCTGCTCACAGCATTCAAATTTAAGATTTCTAAAATGTGAGTCGAGACTTTCAAAACTAGCACTGGATAGTGAAAACAATCACATGGTTTACTTAGACTAACGTTGCAAAATGTCAACGACACTATCTATTTGGTAGGAGCTAAATAAGCCAGCGGACATCTATGGACGAATAAGACGAATTGGTCAAGAGACAGGTCAGAAACATACATGAGCATGCACAGAAAAATGTAATAAAATTGAGCCAATCTTGCCGTCAGGCATCTGAGAAGTAGGTCATGTTAAATAGACTTATCGGGACTTGAACAAAACAAACTGTACTATAATCAAGGAGATAGTAAGACCATGTGGGGAACGAGGAGGTCATCCAACTGGAGTGACTGGCGATAACATCCAAGTTGAAGCAAATGCTGCCCCAACCCACCTCAAAGAACAAATGACCCGCAGGGACTCGTAAAACTGGAGGAGGAGATATAACAGATTGGGTTGAAACAATTTGGACAACTCTGTTGCAGAAGTAGTTGTGATGCTATACTTGTGCAATGGCTTGGGGGTTGACTGGCCCGCTGAGACTTAGCACCACCAGCATGGCAAACTCGAGTGGTTGATGCAAATTTGATCTGACTGAGGCAAACAACTGAAGCTGTCTTGCCGTCAACATCAACCGAGGATTGCAAGCTTGGCTTGAAAGGATGCAAAAGGAGTGTGCTGAAGCAGAGTCCAGCATCAAGCTTTGATCATATCGACTTGACATTTGAATATTACTTTCGATTCGATGACAAAAACGAGTGAATTGCGATCTGATGTGAGAATGGCATGCAAAGCTCCAAATTGGCGACTCGATTGCCTCAGTGAACCAGCATTAAGATTCCCTGCACAAACTTCGTAGTGGACTGCAAACTCGCTAAAGCACACCGGGTCGCACAATCTAAACCACTGGAAAGTTGACTGCCACAATAGTCGAATATTCTCTGGTCGACCAAAAGGTTCAAGGAATACACGGAATCGCATTAGCACTACTGTAAGAAATTTTAGTACTTACTCTTCAATGTCGGGTATGATTGTCACATTCTAGAGCCATTAGCCATCCAGTGAAAAATTTTGCCCGACCTCATCTCATTGGTATTCAGCAGCTGATAATACGACTTGAAGAGTCTCAATGTGCTCTTCTCGACACGAAGCAAGAAAGTGTTAAACAATGGGGTGGACTGACACACTCAGGAAAACTCCACGGCTTAAGAACTCACCTTCTCAACCGTTATGATACGCCCCTCAAGTGTCGAGCGATTGAGGTACTTCACACAGCGATCAGCATCGTCTGCGTTGTCCATGGTTACGAAGCCGAAACCCCTAGATTCCCGAGTACGAGGATCAACCACAAGGCGGCATTCAACCACCTGAAACACGATGTTCCTAGGTAGCATTAGGAATATAAACATTCAAGTAATTGTTAAGAGAAAGGGCCTTTCATTAAGAGTTGGTAAAGCCAGTTTAGGCAAGTACCTTTCCCTCACGAGAGAAATGTTCATCCAAATCTTTTTCTGTTACTCGAGTAGAAAGACCAGTAACGTATAAATTGTTTCCTGGATTAGTGGCATCCTCCCTTACATCCGACCTGTCCCTGTTCCTTCGCAAAGCTCAGGATATACAGATAACTCACCATTTAGAGACGTGTTCAACGCTATAAAAATTGCACATTCCAAGTAGTTCATGGGAATACGTCAATATGTATACCAAAAAAGCAAAAAACAAAAAAAGGGGGGGCAGAAAGATCATCCGCATCAAGAAAATAACAATTGACTGATTCTGTAGACCGACATCTGCCGTGCAACACGGTCGAGACAGGTCGTCTTGAAAAAGGAGTCAGGAGCCGTATGTAATACCTCCTTGAAGGTGGAGTTCTGGACCGTGAACGGCCACGAGACGAGCGTCTTGGAGATGGAGAGTCCGAATAACGATAAGGTGGAGTTCTATAGCAAGAAAACAGAAAGGACATGAGGCTGTGTGATTACGATAACGATACACATTTCTGCCAAATCTAGTATCTAAATGCTGTAAATTAGACCTAAGATAATTTTAACAAACTCGTTCAAAAACAATAGCACTAGTAATTCAAAAAAAAAAAAAAAAAAAAACAGCACTAGTACCTGCTGCGTCCTCTAGGAGAGTCCTGCTCAACCATCACAAAATCAAACTGGTGTAAGGCAATACTACCGTAGAGTAGGACATGTGTCGATTCCTCACACCCCTCACCCTCACACAGGAGGTAACAATTACACCACAATAAAACCCTAACCAGTGACTTCGATCAGTGCATAAACTGTAGAGCTCCCACACAGAGACCTCAATGAGCTAGATTTAGGTGGCGGTACACATGGTACACAAACAACTGATTGGAAACCACAAACCTATGTAACAGATTATACGAGTACGTGTCCCTACCCGATGAAGAAACTACATGAACACTAATCCTCACGATCCACCAGCACCACGAAGTGTAAGATCTTCGAATCAGTCATATTCCAACAACAACAACAACAACAAAGATATACTGGACATAAAGACTCGCAAACTAAAAAATCCGACGGTTCCATTCAACGAACACTTTTCACAAAAAAAACTCTATTGAAAATAAACAAACTCGACCCGAAGATGCGCAACGAACTAAAAACCGATAATCAACAAAAAGAAAACAAAAATAAATAAGCAAACAACCGCAACCAAACAACCCTAACAAAGACCATCCAAAACAATTTAAAACGCAATGATGACTGCCACCGAGGACACATTCAGACAACACTAACCAATCCAAAACCGCCACGGCGCACACGCCGTAGACAGGTCGAAGGCAGGACCACGACACACAGAAACACAAAACATCTTAGGGTTTTGAGATGACGATTCCGCCGAACGTACCATGATGTCAACAGGATATCAGAAAGCGCCGCTTTGCCAGTAGGAAGAAGCCGCGCAACAGTCGTCCGGCGTGAAGTGGAAACGTGACCGAGTGGAGTCAAGGGCAAGAGAGTTAGAGGAAGTAGAAGAGGAGGAGGAGGAGGAGGAGGAGATGGCGAAGAGAAGCAAGGAGCATAATGTAGTTAACCCTCGAAGTCCCCTCGCAGACACAGGCTTTGTAGGGTCAAGCTCGCCGCTGCCTACCTACGCGTTTCGTATTCCGTGGGTAGTTTATAGTTCGTATCGTATGCCGCGAGTTACATGACGTTTGTTCGTGTTGTGGACGTATTCCAAGGATCTGGTATTCTACATAAGGACTTTTCATTTTGTTTGCTTTTTTATTAAAATATTTTAGTAATGATAAGAAAAATGTATAGATTTCTTAACATCTTTAAACTTTTTCTTTGGTATATTATCTCTAGAAAATAAAATAAGAAATGCAAATGGGTTTAAGTGTAATTGCAGTGACAAGACACTTTTCAAAAAGTTTTTGTGTATGCCTATGTGTCCGTACACAAGTGTGTATATGTATTTGTATATACGTATATTTGTAATGAGAATTGATTACATGGTATTATATTCTTTGTAGATGGTGGTTAATATATTAAGGTCCTGAAAAGACTCTTTACCAAATATTAACTGCAAATATTTATTTATCTATTTCTAATGTAATGCAAATATGATTTCAAATATTTTGAATATAATTTTAAAATAACAAACTAATGAATATGTTTTTACTTGTATTGTATTAATACGAGTATAGCACTGGAATAAATATTTTCAGATTTTAAGAAATCAGAAAAAAAAAAAAAAAAAAAAAAAACATGTTTAAAAGCTCCTTTTAGCAAAAGATAAATAAAAAATAACTCATATCATATTGCATTTTCTGTGCAAGGGACAATGCAACAACTAAAGAAAAGAAATGCAGGGGGGAAATGTAAAGATGTATAAAACACTCTAATGTCGCAGCAATTTAGAGATTAACTCATTATTTTCAAATGGTTTTGAACAGGGCAACAAGTTTACATTTGAAGAAAAAAAAACAAAACAAAACAAAACAAACAATAACTTGTTCCACTGAAGAGATATAAGTTCCAGATTTGCCTCTTTTAAAAATAAGAATAAATAAAAAATTGAGTGACTTTTCTAAGACAATTTTTCATGTAGAGACAATGTTCTGCACAACCAACAGCAACCACAAATATAGATAAATGAATGAACAAATCATTGACCACTAAAGATTAAAAATCAAAGTAAACAGGTTTAGAAACAATCACTGTCCAAGGCCAATTTTGTTAGCTCTTCCCATCAATCAATAAAAAAAAACAAGGGTATGCAAACATGTAAGATGTCCTTGCAGGCATGGAAAGAAATCAGTGACGACAGACAATAGAACTGAGATGAGGGTGAATACAAATAGACAACATTTATCAAATAATATGTTGTGGTCATCATAGGCATCTTAGATGAGAATGTCACTGTACTATGTTTCCTTTTTGTACCCAATTTGCATAAATTTAGGGTTCTTTATAAAACCCATTGATATTTGGATTGGATGTAGTGTTTTACAACTCACCTACTATATTGGTTTGCAGGAGTTAGTTGGGTACTAATTGCAAGCTTGCTTTAATTGTGGGAAATATTAAAAGAAGGGTCTTGTAGATTACGAGGTGGTTGATGGCCCTGTTCATCTGTTTTGAAGACATCAGCTTCTGGTTTGTGTTAAATTGTTGAGTTGAGTGTGACCTCGTGTCTCTAGGTAAAAAATGGTGTAAAATGAAGAGTCATTGTTTATACAATCTTAGAGGACATGCCATGGTACTCCTAGTGATCTTGTGTACACTTATGTGTGTGCTGATAAGTTTGTGGGTGCAGCTAGAGAACCAAATGCTTGCCAAGGAGGGCATTCTTATATAGAAGAGATTAGTGGTTTTTTGAAAAATTAAAATTGAAACCAAGTTACAACATTTTTTTATATTAAAATATTGCATCCAAAATTAAAACTACCAATAAAGCATGGTTGTAAAATGTATAAATATCAAGTTCTGGTTTTATTTTAAAGAAGATACAATTTAAGTTTTTTTAGTGGATTCTATATATATATATATATATATATATATACAGATTATTATAATTATCTGGTAGTAAATTATTATCACGTTATAAGGATTCTTTTGTTAGAAAATATTAGTGTGTCAATTCTATTTTTAAAACATGTTTTAAATTGTTGTAAAGCTCTTTTAAGAAATAAATAAATAAGACATCAAAGTTATGCATTGAATTCTTCATTTTTCCAAAAAGGTCAAGGTCCAAAATCATCAAAATATAATCAACATCATTGTGCAAAACTCAAGTACAACCCTCAAAGATGTGAGTTGTTAGTTTTACAGTATTTTTTAAAGAACCAAATTCCTACTAAGAAGTTAAAAAGTACATTCATTGGCTTTTTTGATTGGAACACACACACACACACACATATATATATATATATATATATAACCAAATTAAATCATTGCAAAAAAAATTGTTTCTTCAAATAAATCACCTGGTTTAAATTTCTTTGAATTCAATTAAATACACACAGAATGTTACTTTATGCTTGGTACAGAAGCAAATATAGCCTAGCTAAGGAAACAAAGATGGAAAAATATATTGTACTGTTTTAAACAACATGTGGCGCTGATGGAGTTGATATCTTGAAGTTTACATTGATGCTTGATTTCAATGTATTATATTTAAAATTTTGACATGTGTATGTATGTGTATATATATATACATACTTAATTACCAAAAATGACAATGGAGTTCATTCAAATGTTGTACTAAGATTTGTCTATGCAATAGCATTCACTTGATATTAATGCTTGAAATGGTCAACATGCAAATTTTACAACTGTTTTTAATTTTTAAAAATTATTATTACTATTATTATTTCATCTTGAAATCCTTTGTTATTATTTTATTTTTAAATATTTTGTTGATTCTGAAATGGATATTGGAGGAAAAAAATTTGAAAAAAGTTGGTCTTTCTAAATTAAAAGTAAAACTATATTTGCACAGTTTTTCTTTTGATGTTTAAATCTGATATATTTCAAGCTTAAATAGTCCAAGTCCATCACATTATATTTATCTTTTTGTAGTTCAATTCATAAACTTTAAACATCCAAAATTTCAGGCACATTTTACAAAAAAATAAAATAATATTAATTAATATAATTTCTTGTTCAATTAACCAAGCTTTTAATTACTAGAATGTGCAAAACGATAGCAAATGAACATGTTAATATTTTCCTCTTCAGATCAAATTGAAATAAAGGATTTGATTCAATTGCCCTTATTTTTGAGATTAAAAAATCATATAAATATAGAAATTGATATTTAATTTAATAAACGAAGATTCACACCTATCAAATTAAATATATTATAGAAGTATGTATGAAATACGTAGCTATATAAATATTATTATGGTAGGTAAATTATTAATATGAATTCATTAGAATTCAGAAATAAAATTCTATTAAAATGAAACTTTTGGAAGGGATAACTTAACTGACTTGAAACTCGTGGTTATGTGATAGTAAAATAATAATATATGTATTTTTATTTCATTTATTATTATTTTTAGTGGCAGAAATAAGGCTTTCAGTATATCAAAAATGAAGAAATATTATTAAATACATAGACAAATTTAACAAGTGCATATTAATAAAATTCAATCATATTACGAGAATTAATTCTATACAACAAGAAAAAACAGATTTAAGTTTTTAAATTCCATTTTTATTATTGAAACTCGTGTACCCTACTCAACAATACTAAGTATGTTTTTTTTAACAGTTTCAATTTGTAAATACATTCATTATTTTTGTAATTTTAAAGCTTCTGAAAAATCAAATTTTGACGATACTATAAAAAAATAATTAATATTTTATAAGCTACTTAATTTAACAGACATGGCCTTTCCATCAAAAACATATAATGAAAAAAGTAATCAATTTCAAAACATATTCTAATTATGATTTTGAATATGATTTTTTTTGTAGTTTCTAATGTATTTATAATTTTTCTTTCTTTCTTCTTATTTAGGTGGATATTGCTAAAACCCAATTGCATGACATTGCCCTTACAGATGAACTAATGGAGCAGACCTCACTCTTTATAATAAAAAGGATTGGTTGTGTAGTACAAGGGGGATGATCCTCAGGTTGTTGCTTTGTGTTAAACAAATATTGTTTGTGTTTCCAACTTTACTAGAATGTGTTGATTTTGATGACATGTGAAGTTGTTTTGAATGTATTGGTTGTTGTAGAACCTTGTCTTACTTTCATGTTAAGAACATATAGCAAAGAATTTAGGGATTTTTATACTTAGTGGACAAGGTGAGAGGTCAGAACTTTTAAATATATACCCACTTAGCTTTGGTAGAAATTTTGGGACTCCCACACTTCTCCCCTACTGTGCAAAGTTGCAGATAATACACATCCAAGAACATGATGGTTGTTTGTTTGTATTGCATTCATGAGAAACTAATGCTGTGATGCAACATTGAAGCGGAGTTGCCTTAAGATAAAAAAATAGACAGTGAACGATAGAATTGAGATTTTGAAAAGCGTAACAATTTGAAATGTTGGCATCTGGTCAATTGGTGAGTTGAGTGTGGTGGTGGTTCATTCTCAACAAGTAGAATGCAGTATCAGTTGATAAATAAATATAAGATTTGCTGTGATTGCTTAAGCTCTTGTAGATTACATTGTCATATCCTTGGGTTTGCCAGAAGCTTGACGGACGAAATTGATTTGGAGGTGATTACAAAAGGAAACAACTATTGGAGGAGAATACTTGGGCTTCAGAGGATGTTGTTATTTTTTTTAATTAGATCAATGATCAATCCCTCATCTACTGGTTCAAACCTCAAAATCAGAGCAATAGATTCACTAAGCTTTAAATTCTTTAAGGCGAGTTTTGCATTACGATAGTTATGGGTTGTGTTGTTCAAAATTGAAGGTAGATTTGTTTGATTTCCGGAATTACTCATCTATATATATATATATATATATATATATAATCCTTTGCATTTTATCAATAATATTACTGTTCATATTGGAATATATAATACATACATATACATATACAGAAAACATAATTATGCACATATTTGGCAGGTTTATTATTAGTATCAGAGAGTGGGAGTGAGTCTTTCTGTATCCACAAACCATTACACTCCGTGAATCCAGAACTATGTCCGATCTAGACTCCCACATGTGGCAACGAACAACAACAAGAACGGAATCCAGTTACTCCTGCCACTTCGAACACTCACACAGACACATGCACACGCACAAGCACACAGTCGCACGCTCCCACAAGCAAGCAAGCAAGCGGTGAAGAAGCAGTCCCCATCGAATTGAATGCCGACGGTGGGCACTGACACATCGCGACCTCGCAATCTCGACGGGACCAGCGGCGCTGTTGTCAACGGGACCTGGACCCCACAAGATCATAGCGCCGCCGCCGACCGATCGATCCCCCTCCCCTTTCCTCCCCTGCCAGCAAAAATCTCAACATTCATAGCTCACTACCCACTCCCACCGAAGCCAACTCAATGCAGCTTCACCCCGCTCGGACCCTCCATATATCCCCCTTCCCATCCACGTCTCATCACACCTTGCCTGCTTCCATCGCTCATTGCCACATGCTCAAGCCTTGCTGCAGTGATCGCATGGTTTGTGCAATTCACGAAGGCTCTGTGGACTTCGCAAACGCTGGACAGACCTCGGATATCTAGTCTTCGGTCTGTCGATTGTCGTGATCTGTTCCCCTGAAGAAGCTTGAAGTGCGTGGCTGCAGGCGACAGGCAGCTTTCGATCGCTGGTCGATTGTTGTGGTGTGTTTTGAAGCTGTTGCATAATGAAGAATGTCGGGGTTGATCTGGTGCTGGCAATACTGGTCTGCGTTTTCTTAGCTGCAGGAGCAGCAGCTGAAGGTCATGCGTTTGCTCAAACGAAAGTTTTTGTAGCCGATCGCAAGGACTTCACCAACTGGTCTGCTGTCATTGTGGGCAAGGTGTTCTGCGATCGATGCATTCAGAATAAAGTCTTCCCATTCGCGCATCCCATGAGCAGTATGTCGCCTCCCCCACAATTGCGTTAGGACTTCTGCTTGTCGCTTGCAGTCCAATTATGTGAGTTCTGACCTGCTGTGACCGATTGCAGAAGCAAAGGTTTCGGTGCAATGCAAGGACTGGTCAGGTCGAGTCGTTGGTTACGCCAGAACATCAACAAATTTCCTCGGAGATTTCATCGTGCAATTCAAAGGCAAGAAGGATCTGTCCGGATGTTCAGTTTACTTGGATGGAAGCTCGGATCGCAGTTGCAACATCATCGGAGGGGGACGTAGAGCCATCAGCTTGAAATCCAAGTTTTTGTTTCAAGCGTTCTACGTAGCGGATCCTCTATTCTACAAACCTGCAAGGCCGATGGGATTCTGCCCTAAGAAGAGCCGACCATCGCGTGGAAGAATCACGGTCCCCTTTCCCAACAGACGCCCATCAACTTGCTCATATCTGTACGTAAAGGTTTCCCCTCCATGTGATTGGTTCATTGGACTTCTGCGTGTTATCGAATTGTTAGGAAACAAATGTGTTGCTCAAAAAATTGACTCAAATTCCTTGCGCTCGCGCAGGGACTGGCTCCGTCCTGACTACAGATGCTACTGGCCCAAGGATTTATCACCATGGAAAACCTCAGTCGGCCGTGTGTTCGGTAGAGGAGCACAAAAGAAGTATGGCAATAAGCCGCTTGCGGGGGGTCTTCTCACAGGTGACGATCTTCTCCGCCAGGCCATAACCGCCCTTCTCAACTCCCGAACAAACAAGCATTTCTATATGTCTCCGCGCGGAATCAAGGCCAAATTCTCCAAGGCACTGTCCGGTTCATGGAAAGCAAAGTCAGCTCAAGCGAATGCATTTCGGAATGCCAACAACGGCTACGGCAAGGGCAAGTGCTTGCTCGTACCCTGCAAGTGGTGATCAGCTGCAGTTAGTTGCATTTTCCTATATGGGTTCTCTGAGCTCGTTCCCACAAGACTAAAACAGTTAATTAGTTGGTTCAGACCTTTCTCAATCCCTGCTACCACCTATTCAGTGGGCAAGATGGCATTGTTTTTTAGTGTTGTTACTTCAGCAGCTTCGACTGCCTAGTATTTCCATTGCAATTATTCTCTTACTCTAGCTTTATAAAAAACACGTCTCATGGCGATTGTGCTCTTCCGTCTCAGAGCCATACAATTCCTTGCATTTTGGTGACTGATTCAATTTTTGAGCCTGTCCATTGTTGCGACGCCACAAGGTTGAAGCTAATATTTCTGTTGTATAAACAAACAAATATATATATATATATATATATATATGTGTGTGTGTGTGTGGGGGGGGGGGATTCTATATACTGTCCCATAACTTCTCCAACTTTGATATGTGGTTTGATGTTGAACATTTCACCCATGTTGCTGGTTTCGGTTCTGGTGCTCTGAGAGCGAGTTCACCCTTTTGTGGACTCCTTGAGCACATGTGTACAATGCTATTTCCTAGACATTTTTCTTGGAAAAAATCAATGCTAAAGTTCAACATTCGTTTCTATTGGATATTCTATTTAGGGCAGTTTTGAAATTCCAAAATGGGGCATCAATAGAGGGTCAATCTCTTGGGGAAGAAATTAAGTCACAAATATGTTGTCAATGAATGTTACCCAATCCTTTTGCCTCTTTTAATGCTCCATTATGAAATTCTATGTATTTGAAGAAGATGCACATCATATAAAAATTTAATATCAATTAGATTTTTTAAATGAAAATTTATTTATTTACTTTTATAAAATTTGTATGATTGGTTGGAGACTTGATTTATTTTTATTTTTATTTTTCAAAATAATATATAGATTGATTGGCTTTTAAAAATTAATTACACAAGCCTTGTTATATTAAGGGCAATGTCTATTAGCATAATAGAATCTAACAAAATGATTTAAATTAGTAAGTTCTAAAATTATAACCAATTAAATACTAAAAAAAATTGTATTTATTCCAATATGCATATATTTTTTTTAAAGTTAGAATTTTTTATAAGATTTGTAAAAATGTAATTTTATAATGAGGCTAAAATTTTGGCCAAAAATATAGTAATTGCAATATTATAAAATTTTGAAGTTGGTGAAGGTAAAAAAATCTTTTAGGTTTCCTATCAATCTAAATAAAAGTGGAAGATACTTATATACTTAAGATGTGGTCTTACAACTGTACTTGCAGTATTTGTACTTGGACAAATTTAAATATCAAATATGCATGTATATTTATTTATAAATATGATGAGAACAAAGTGTTTCAACATGAATAAATAAATTTAAAATATATATTGTGAGATTATTTATTTACTATTTATGTTAAAGTTTTATTCATACTTATTTATAAAATAATCTTAATAAAAAATTACTTAAATAAATAAGTTTAATTTATTATGAATATAATTTTTTATTTTATTTGTTTAAATCATGTGCATAAGTAGGTCCAAAACAATAAATAAGCATTGTCACCAACTAGAAATGTGACACAAAAAATTGTAATAATTTCTTAGTATTTAAAACTTCAACAAGCAGTGGAATTTTTATATCACAATTGTATATTTGTAGAAACTAAAAATCTAAAATAAATAGAATGGTAAATTTGTTTTGGAGTAATACACTTCAATTTATGCCTCTTCATAGCAATTCTCAAAAGTTAGATCCTCTCTTCATTTTTTTGGAACCTAACCCTCTTTCAATTATAAACATGATTGTGCATCTTCTAAAATCGTATTCTCAATCTCATTTGTCTACTGAGATACCCACAATTGTGTTTTCATTTGCCAATTTAGAGGCAACAATTTCCGAACTACTTGAAATTTTTTAGCTTAAAGTGGCACATGGATATTGGATGCCTCCGTTAATATGCTACCACGTCGTGAACATGTTTCTTCATGACCTTTTCATGACGGAATATCTGTGATGTGTAGCAAACTCGACCAAACAGGTTCGCTGATCAACAAACAACTCTACGATGTGGTTTCTTGGAGAGTCTATATTATCCTGTATTTATACGAAAAAACATTCTTTTAAGCCGATTACGTGAATCGAATGTGTGTCTCCAAAAGAAAACTGCAAGGGCCTAAAATAGCATGGTGTTCCCACGAAAGTTGTACAGAAACAATATATCCAACTTTTTTAGCATTGAAGTACTGATAAAAGAATATTCATGAAAGACGCAATCGACCGGGGCTGAATGACAAAGAGAAGTGCAAACCAATCAAGTACAATATAATGGTCTTCAAGCTATGCAGCGTGAGTACATACAAGGTCCTGGCAACTGCAGATAGGCCGACCTGATTCTGCCCAACCATTAAAGCCCCGTTCTAGAACCACGATGCTGGGAACTTTCTCAATTTTTCCTTCAGTCTTTGCATTGTTCAAATGCTCACTCAGTTTTCGCGCACAGGTGGGGCCCCGAACCTGCACATGGAAGATGTTGTGAGGGTGTAGCCAGATAAAAAAAATCTTCTACTGTTTAATCACAAGAAATATCTTCACCATATACTGCTTGAGCATGATGTACTTTGCAATCCTAATGACCGCACTTCATATTATGTCACCAAACTCTTTAAAAAAAGGAAACTCACCTGGCTGAAAGCACAATGGAAAACTACGGTTTCTTTGTTTTTAACCTCCTCGATCAACTTCGGAAGATTCTCCTCAAAAGTGCTACTGGAAAAATGCATAGAGCCTGCTATGTGTCCATCAAAAGCACGCTCCTCGTCCCTGTCGTTCAAAGCATACACAGATGTTATTGAGATTCTAAGATCGCAATTCATACACATCTTCAACGAAGCGGTATCCTTTTCACTAAAGCTTCAATTTGGTACTCCAAAACTATGCCAATTCATTTATTCATCAATCTGAAAATTAGTTTTCTAACTTCTCTGAAATATAATAAGCCTTCCTCATGATGTTTGCAGTACGCTGATAAGCCCTTACTGACAAAAATCTATAGAGCCAATTCTGAAGCAGATACGTGGCATTAGCAAGGGAAAAACAGAAAGCATGCCGATGCAACATGATTGTGCAGAACATGTATATAGAAGGACTACAAATAATAATAATAATAATAATAAGAAGAAGAAGAATACGCATTGTAACCACAGCAATCGCTGCCAATACCTACTCACGAACATCTCAAAAATGATGCTTCAGCCTCACTGCGTACATTTTTGGTTGTGATGAATCTTAGTTTACTTGTTAGGGGCGAAGTGAGCGGAAACAGTGCTCGACCTCAGAGAAAAGAGATCGTGATCACAATCGCTATCTTCTCCAAACAGGCTCACAGCCATGTCCCAGATCAACCCCGTTAATCAAAATCCCATAAATTGATTCATTAAGTTATTATTAGAGAAGTTTCATAAGCCTCATGGTATGCTCGACTAAACAGTCACCATAAAACAGTGTATTGACATCCAATTGAATTTGATCACAGAGCACTAGAAACCTAAACCTCGGCCACATCCAAAAATACAAAAAACATCAAAATAAATAATTAAAACCTCAGAGTCTTCACAAAGGTTGCCAATTTCGTCCCCTTCGTGTACCAAAATCAATCCGCTTCCTGACCAAATACAAAAGCATCGCATGACGTACCCACCACTGCCGACGCACTCTATCCTCTAATCTCCAATTCTCACAGAAGCGGCACAACGTACTGACCTAACATCCACCACTGCGATCTTCGGCCCTTGCAACTTCACGAGCTGCTGTCCGGAAACAAACGATACGGTTGAGTTCAGGCCCGCCATAGCCGCCACAGCACTCTCGCAGTTGAATGCACGAACACCTTCCTGTTTGCTGCTCTTCGGCTTCCAGGTATCCTTCGAACGCACGGACGAACGCCGTTTCCCTTTCCAGCAGATGTACATTCAAGAGGAGACGTGAAGGCGAGCCAACAAAGACACAAAAAAGACGAACTTGCTCCTTCCCTCACGAAATGACGTGCACATATCTATGTATATACATATATATATGTATACACATATATTTATAGCTGAACAGATAGATGTGCAGGCATGCTGGTCCGCCTTGTCCACCACTGTTCAGACTCCATGCTCACTTTGATGAAACTCCTCCGCGGGAATCAAGCAGAGGCGGGCCAGCACTCCGAGGCTTCCTCCGACAGAGAGCACTTTCGATCCCTTTTGTCTCTCCTTTTGCCATCCCACGCAAATCGCTTGCTCGCCTTTCTTCGCAACCAAAGGGCATCTTCCCCAACCATACTGTTCGTGACGTTGAGCTTCTGTTGGCGGAAAACATCCATGTTGGGCAAGTGACCGTGGAACCCATGCGTGTATTAGGGTTTTCTCTCTATTCACGTCTCAATCTATTCATGTGGTGGATTCTCAATTTTGATTTTTTTTTTTTTTGATTTTTTTTCCAGATTGGGAGGGTTGGTCGGAACTTTTTTTTCACATTGGGGCCGTAGATGATTACCTCACAGTGGATTTGTTATTTGTGGACAGGTTAGCTTAGCCCATTTCCCTACTCATCACCTTTGTAGCAGCAAGTGAGGCACCTGGTTGGACAAAACTCTTGTTTTGACTAATAGAATTGAGTTTGGCCAACATTGCATCAACAGTAGAGGTGGAATTTGATGTTGGAAACTCCATTGATTGGTTCTAATGTATATAGCTTGAACAATGATATAGACTTATAACCTCATTGTTTGTTTTGATTCCCTCTTTATATTTTCTTTAGGTACTTTTTTTTCTTTGTCTTCTTTCTACTATAAGCACTTAAGAGTTCTCTTTTTCATTTATCTTTATTTGGACTTGATTATAGGTTCATAAACTAAATAAGTGAGCATGCAAAAAAATAATCAAACAAATGAATAAGTTGTTTAGATTTTATAGTTGGATGGATAATAGCATTATCAAAACATGCAAAGCCAAGATTTTTTCAAGTATCGTAATGATGTCACAAACATACCTATAATTATTTACATAATATAAATACGTAGATGTAGGTAAAAATAAGTTAATTTAATAATATCTTATAGACAAGCTTCTTAGAAGCTTCATAAATATGATTTTATCTTTAAACATGTCTATAGGTGATTGATAGATTAAAAACTTGGCCAATAAGTTAGCTACATATTACATATATTGGTAGCTTAAAGTACAAGCTAAGAATGTGGTATGCATATACAAAACTTGCTTTGGAAGTTAAGATATGTGTCTCATAAATTGGACATGTATTGGAGGTCCTATAGAATATTGCCACATACCTCTCAGTTAGATTATATAGAAGTAAGAATGAAGTTTTCTTCACAATTGTCAATCCCTTTCTTGCTTCTAATCTAGCTTCAAGAGTTTTTAATTTTTTAGCCTTTGGCAATAGCCATCCTAGCTTTTTATTAAATATATTTATTTTCTTATTTTTACTTTATCATCTCTCTTTGATTCATTTCTCACTTGTTTACATATCTTCTTTGATTTTTTGTTCTTGACAAATCGACAAGAGTCCTAATTGATTGTTCTTGTCTTGTTTTTAGAAGTGAGTAAATTATCCCACTTCTATTGTTGTATTTCAAAATTTGTGGACTATCCATTTTAAACTAACATTGACTTTTTTAGCATTGATTTTTTCTTTAAAGAGAATAGATTACCTATCTTTGTAGAAATTCTTATTTAATTTTAGGGATTGTAGATTATCCTCTTCTAATTTGACTTTGAATTTATTAAGTTATTTAAAATAGAAGAAAAAATCATGGATGCTATACTTGACAAAAGTGAAAATAAATTTGTAATTATTATAGATCTTCATGAGCTTGTCAATACTCTTAGGGATGAAAATTTCACCTATTATCATCACCAACTACAAAAGTACTATTTCTATGCATATGGAAGAAGTCTAAAGTCTACGCCAAAAAATTCTGCAATTGAAGGAAGTAAGTAGATTGACCTCATAATCAAATCTAAGAAGTCTTGCTTTTAGAAGCACAAAAGAGACAAGAATTAGTATGCTCAAGAAATTTGATAGAATTTTTTTTTGAATATTTCTACAACAAGTCAAGCTCTATCTAAGGTTGCATCCTTTCAATATCTTCATGGATTTACTCAAGTTGGATTTATAAATACACTTTTATTTGGAAGTGCTCTCTCTTATTTATATTTTTGATAGAAAAATATTCACAACTATTTTGTAATTTGAATTTATTCCTAAAAGTATTTATGGCCACATTTCAAAAAAGTGATTAAACAAGAGTAATAGAGTCCAAGCACTTATTTTTATAACAAGAATTACAATTAGCCACCATATATATTGCTGAATTCCAAAGCCTTGCTTGTGACATGGACCAAAACAATAAAGCCCTTATCAATCAATTTTAATATGAATTTTAGAATAACATTAAATATTTATTATTGAAATATTAAAAACAAATTCTTTAGAATAATTTATTGCTCAAGCCATTGCATGCAAGAATCTATTATTTGAAAGGCATCAAGAATAATTCAAGTAATGACAAAAGCTCTTAAGTTTTTTAAAAACTTATTCATCAAAGCCACAACAAATGCAAATTGATATGATATGTTTTAAACCTTATATTGAAGAAGAAAAGACTTAATATTGTTGGAGTAGAGAAAATTTGCCTTAAGAAAGTATTAAACTTCTGGCTATTATTAATTGCTCAATCAAGCCTCAAGATAAAAAAAAAAAATACCAATTTCATACATAAAAATTTCTCTATAAGAGCAATTATATTAATACATAAGCCTTAATTAGCAAAGTTCACTAAAATGTGATAAAAATATAATAAAATCTTGTATATCCTTTACATAATTTTTTTTCAAATATCAATAACTCATATCTTATGATTGGACTATCCAAACAAATCTAAATTTTATATGAAGTATTGATGTACTTTTAACAACTATTACAACAAATTCCAACTACAAATTTGTTGTAAATTTTGAGATATTGCCAAAATCCTAACAATAGCTTCAAATCCTTGCTTACATATACCTATGTGCAAATTTCTTCATATCTCACAAAATAAATATTCAAATACCACAAAATTTTGATATTTAGCTTTTTAACCTAGTAACACACACTTCTACAAATTTTGACCTAAAAATTCACTTGAAAACTCAAGATATGGCTCCAATCATTACTATCAATAAAACAACTTATTTATTACTTTTGAATTACATATGCTATCTTTAATACTCTATAACTTCTTCATAAAAACTCCAAAAGAAAAAATTATTTCATTAGAGATATAGATCTTGAAATTGTCTTTGTGGTTGTCTCTTTCAATCTCCAAAATCTATCATAAAATTCCTCGTATCTTCAAAACAACAATAGTATCTTTTAGAAAGATATCTTAGCTTCAAATGACTATAAGTTCATTATCTTAATTCCAAATCCTCTAAAGTTTATACAAAAATGATAGTCCAAATCCTAAACCTTTATAATCTTTGCTTTTGATTCTCAAATTCTTCTTTTGAAGTCGCCAAAATCCTTATTATGGTTGCGGACAGCCTGCTGAATGCCTATTGGGCATAGCCTTTGACCAATAGAGATAAAGATCTTTACTTTTAGCCTTCATCCATCAATATCTTGCTTTCATTCTTCCTAATAAGCTTCTTAGAGGTTTGAATCTTCATCTTTGAGCCCCAATCTTTTCCTTAAATTTTATACTAAATATCTAAATCCTATATAATTTAAATATTATAATAAACATAAATAAATATCAAAATAAATTTTCTTACAACTTTCTTTAAATTAACCTACTAACCACTTTAAAATACATCAATACTTATAAATATATTATCTATTTTAGTTAATTTTTACATATAATAAAAAATTATAATACGACAACATCATCAAGAGGATTTGTATTTATATTGTGGAAAAGCTAAGCACACTGCTTAACATTCTTCAAAAAAAAAAATCCAATCACAAAATGAAGAGCATGGTTGCTTACAAAGATAATACATTGAAAAAAAAAATCTCCAATTATAATTAGAATCATGCATCTAGAATCATGTGCAACATTTACTAAAGGTTCTATTCTCTCCTTAAATCCTTCACTTTATCTTATAATAGATGTGTATTTATAATCTAAAAATCACAAAGTCTTTGCCTTATTAGATTCAAGAAAATCAGCTTGTTTTATAAACAAAGACTTTGTCTGAAATATAATTGGTCTATCTCAGAAATCCAAGATCTTTTTAATCCACAACAATATAAAGCCTCATCACAAAATAGGATAAAATAGACTTGAATAAAATTAAATGGAACTGAATGAAATAAGATATAAAAGACAAAATTGAGCAAATGGAAATAGAACAAAATAAAATTAAACACAAAATACAAAACCAAATTTTACTAAGAAAAAGAGTTCAAAGCCATATTTGACTAAATGCCCCAAAAGGCCATCGCCAGTCCTATTTATATCTTATTCTATAACCTTGGACTTTCTAGAATGTTCTTAGGTGGTAGACCTCATATAAATAATTACTTAAAATTCTTTTTTTAGAAGATTCTATGATAGGTTCCATCCTAATAACTATCTTAAATTTTTTTAGAATATTCTATAATAGATCCTATCTAGTTTGTTAATCTAACCCCAATTCTAGAAACTTCTATGGTTCTAACTATCTATCCTTATACAAATATCTTATTTATATCTTATTATAGTTAATCCCCTTCTACTAATATAGAACGTCCTTATTTTGTCCTCAATCGTATTTTCGAATTATCTCTTGGCAATGGCTGAGGTATTGTATAGGTTCCCATGTTGCATCATCAATGAGATAACCTTTCCAAAGAAATTTGTATTGAAGTTGTAGACATCTACTACCATAACATAAGTAGCGATGGTCCAAAATACTACCCACTTCATATTCTTGTTGGTTATTAACTACAATTGGTGGTCGTGGTAGTTGGTGTTGATCTAAAAAGTACTTTAGCTTAGTATGAAATTCCTTTAGTTGCAAAATATAGAAGACTGGATGGATTCAAATATGTAGCAGAAGCTTGACGTAATATGCGACATCAGAAATCATTACAAAAATACGAAAAGGTCCAAGCCATCAAGGTGCTAATTTAC